ATTCGAAAACATCAAGATTAACATCATCGAATCACGTAGGATTGCATTCACATCCGGGCTCCTACTGTGGTTTTGGAATGGCACACTCTTCGTTGAAGCGTGGGTTATGAGGACAAAAGGGGATTCAGATATCAATAAGGTATTATATTACTTTAGTACGATTGTTTTTTTTTATAATTATTTCTATAAGGTAAGTAACATGTATTAAGCTAAGCGTGCATGTGATTTCACTGCTATAAATGTAAAATACACACACATAAAGGCTCAATTTTTAGGGCAAAGAGAAATAGTTTCTTATTATTTTACTTACATTACTGCCGTGGACAAAAAAAGAAAGAATATATATATATAACGTTATATAATCTCAATAAAGTTCTCTTCAGAATCTGAAATTAATAACATCTGTTTAATCAATTATTTGTTTACAAAATTCAATGCAACATTTTAAACTATATTTGTATCACATTGTCCTTACATGTTCTACACATGAAAGTTATTTCATAACTTACCATTTTTTCTGTTTGATATGTCTATCTTATCCACCTTTTTTGTGTACTTTCTAGGACAGGATCGCGATATCAATAAAGATTTTCCTTGACATAGAAGGCACACTGGTCGAAATACCGCCCTCTCAAGAAACAGGGAAGGAATAGTCTATAAGAAATTCTTACCTTCAAAACTAGGACTTTGATCACCTCTTTTCTACCTCCACAAGAGGGTACGTACGACAGGGGATTCTCTGAAAACCACAATTTAACAAAACTCTGAAGAGAACAATTAAAAAATGAGCGAGAATTTTCAGTACAATAACCATGGGCAAAGAATTACACTCGAGTAACGAACAACTAATCTATTCTTCAGCTTGCCTTTTCTATTGTTGAAGGGGGTCCAGTGGTGAGTACAAACTTTCTGAACAACAATCAAAATGCAGGGTAAAACAAAAGTTGCTACTTACTTGGATGGGTCAAAAGTTACTATACTATTGATATAACTTGTATGATACGGCTGGTACTAAAGAAAATAATATGAACACAATTGAGTTTAATAAAATAAAAAGAATAATATAACTAGAAATAAAATAAACGAGAAAAAAATTCGATTAACAGATCCCCTGAAAGTACTTTACAAATTTGTTTATTAGAAAGCTAGCTAGAGTACTCGTCCCCTGGATGAAAATTATCTAAATTCATGATTAATGAAAGGTTATCTTAGGACACGAAAAGTTGATTCCCTTATACGTAATTGTAAAGAAAATGCAAAGACGCCCATAAAAACTGCAAAACACAACATTTCAATTTGCATGTATCTCCCCATGGACCCAACAAACCCGCATACCAAATTTGGTGAAAATCCACCCACAGGAGGCGAGGTAGTGGTAAAAAACGCAAAAAAAGTCAATAAAAACGCAAAATAGCAAAACTTAAAATTTGTATGTGTTTCCCCATGGATCCATTGAACCTTCGTACAAAGTTTGGTGAAGATCCATCTAAAAGGGGCAAAGTAGTGGCAAAAAACTGCAAAAACGCACATAAAAACCGCAAAGCTGAAAATTTGTATGTACCCCCCGCATGGACCTAATGAAACTCCATACCTTCACACCCTGCAAAGTAGTTACATGGAAATACAACAGTACTATTATACTATTATATTGATATAGATAAACAGCTGAATCATTACTATAATCTTAATCAAATAAGGCATTGTTGATTATTCCCAAGCAAAGCTTTCCAATAGTTATTTTTTTTTTAATTTTGAATAGAGATTTGAGCTATTTGTGATATCTGGAATCTGTATTGCCCACCACCGTGGTCAAATTGGCACTAGTTTCCACGCTATGAGGGAATAAAACTCACGCTCCATCTAAACTCCCACACAAAACATGGTAATGGCCGCTCATGTTGCGCAATACGAGATCTGGTTCCTCAGCTCTTTAAAGCCGTTTCTACACGGTTTTCTCGAGTTCTGTCGATATAGATGATTTTATTGGGCCAGCTGTCTCGACAGAACTCACGTAAACCGCGATAACTCGCCACTGTAAGGTGCTAGGCATAGTACCTGCCTGAACATGAACACTTGTATTATTTTGTACTAGAGGAACACAGTTCGGCCAACCCTCTAAACTCCACATCTTCCGGCTAACGCCCTAAATTCCGCATCTTCGTGGACGAACCCCTATTGAAAGGTGAGTTATTTTGGCAGTAAAGTGTGTTTTTGAGGTTAAAATATCAAACCCTTTATCGGAGTACATTTTGCTTGTTTCTAACTTGAATACCGGAAACCGTGACACCCATCTAATCCTGTTTCCTTGACTGGCAGACTGGGTGTTAAACTAAACTATTATCCCACAGTGGCATAGCGCTAAGTCTGAAGGATAATAAAGCTAAAAACCAGGTTTCGATACCCGTGGTGGATACAGCACATGTAGTCCATTGTGTGACTTTGTGCTTAACTACAAATAAACAAATAAATAAACTGTATATAATATTTGTATCTGTTACTACACTTTAGCTCAACAATGGTTTTTGAGCCAGTACAAAGGTTTAAAAATACCATCTAACTTTTAATTAGCTTCTAAAGACCATTTTCAAGCATCTTATATTACCCACAACCACAGATATCAGATATGTCTAACCACGTCTTATTTTTGATAACCAGCATTGTATCTTCTTTTCTGAGCCCCCAGTGGCTAGAAACCGGGTTTCGATACCCGTGGTGGGTAGAGCACAGATAACCCATTGTGTAGCTTTGTGCTGAACTTCAAACAAACAAACCCTAAAGAAAAGGCTAGTTCGTGTTTTGTTCAAAATACCCTGTACTACTTTAACAGCAGGACAAGCTACATTTATTACTAAAGCCAAGGCAACAACTTTGTAACAAAGATTGTGGTATTAAATAATGTATTTGTACAAAAGTAAGCTGTTTTTTATTACAATTAAAAAAAACCATAATAAATATGTTCATCCATTAAATTATCGTTTTCGTTTTTAATTATGCACAAAGCTACACAAGGGCTATCTGTGCTCTGCTCACCATGGGGTTCATCCATTATTCTTTTAAGTGTCAATCAAAGATACGTCCTTCAAACCAGTAAGGGTTTTCACTAGACTGGCTATAAACATATTGAATTATAATCACATATTAGACAAAAATACGTATACTATATAAGGTAGGGAAATTAGACAGTGGTTAAATTTAGAGACGAATCATTAACCCTTGAATACCACATTATCCAGTAATTTACCCTCTAAAATAAAAAATAGACAGTTTCATATAAATAGTTATATATATATATAATATTGTACAACTTATTTCTTATAAATTACTTTCGATATTCAGATCCTTCTATAACAAAAATGATAAATCAAGAAATAGACATTACAAACGAGAGAAGAGGGTAGGAAAAAAATTGGTTTGTTTAAAATTTCGCGCAAAGCTACATAGGGGCTATCTGCGCTAGCCGTTCCTAAATTAGAAACGAAGGGCTAGAGGGAATACAAGTAGTCATCAACACCCACCGCTAACTCTGGGTTACTCTTTTAACAACCAATAGTGTGATTGACCATACATTATAACGCCCCCAACAGCTGAAAGGGCGAGCCTGTTTGGTGGGACGGGGATTAGAACCCGCAGGTGGCGAGTCGAGCACCCCTAACCACCTGGCCATGCGAAGCCGAAAAAGATTTGGCAGGAAAAATAGCAGCTATGTACTTTCCGGTAATAATGTGTTATAAGAGTAATGGTCAAACCCCACTATTCGGTGAAACAAGAGCAGCCAAAGAGACGGCGTTGGTCATTGTTAACTCGTCGCCTCTTCCCTCGTCTATCAGTTAAAAATTAGGGACGGGTATGCGTAGATAACATTTGTTTACAAATACATAATAAAATGTTTAATATATTTGTTCTTTGCTTGAAAGCAGCTTTCAATAACGAGTGAATGACGTATTTTTATCTGTTTTTACAACTTTGCTTTCTACAATATTTGTGTAAAAAAATAATATATTAAACTGAAACATCTTAACCGTATGAATATTATCAACAAATGTTTTGCAAATTCAATAAATTTTGTGTTTGGGGTAAAATAGTTGTAATGTAAGAAATCTAATGTAGTACGCGATATATATACAGCTTTCAAGCTTCCAATCAAACAGATGTGCTTTCGTTCAAAAAGAAAAGGAAAAAAAAAAAATGCAACAATGATCTAGTGCCTCGTGGGTTCCAGGCGTGTGAAACATCTACTACCCATTCACTGGTGGGCATTGTTAGCATTGGCATCAAACGTTCACGAGCTCGACCTAAATGAATACTGGTGCCATCTGTCGATCAGTTCTGTATCAACGAATTACTTTCAGTCTAATAAATTTGAAATTAGACTCACGCGAAACATTTACCTCCAGTTAAGTTGGTCATATTAAAAAAACCTTGTTGGGTCAGAATAATTTAAGTGTGCCCATCACGAAACTTCGATACCCCCCTCTCTTCCAATAAGCGTAACCTTTCACTTAATTAGAATTAATTAATTCCAGTGTAAGAGTGTACGAAAAAATTAACTTTGATGCATAGACGCCTTTACGTTTTATGGAGGTATTTTTAATTACGTACATACTGATATATTTTTAATATTACAATAGTTTCGGGCCGGCGCTGGTGGTCATATATAGCATTTTTGGAAATAGAAAGACTGAGAATCGTAAGTACAATTAGTCGTTACATCATAGAACTTACATAAAGTTCAATCCATGTATTTAAGTTACATAAGCCCGCTTCTTATCTTTTTTTTTTTAATTAAGCAAAGGGGGTTTAATAATCAGTAAAGCAATAAAACTGCTGTTCGTGTTCAGCTGATTTACATGTTCCTGTAAGGGCTAACCGCTTGACGCAGCTTATAGGAGAGTCTTCCGCGCTCACATTTTTTTATACATTGAGTACAAAAGTCACCGCAAGGAAACTCTGGTAATCGTTTGCCGACACTGCACTCACACAGTTAAAGTCAACTCAACTTCACTTCTGCTAAAATCCTCAGATCGTTCTGTTGGCGCGAGTCAATCTAGACTTGCGCAGCTGGCGTTCCTGCTCGCGCGGAGCGACACGCGCATAATAAGCTGTGTCACGGCTGCTGTTTAATGCAGGTTGGAGGGAGAGACGAGGGCATTTAGTTCCTGTCGTCAAAGCGGCTCAGTTGAGTTGAGTAGTTAAGAAGTTGTGCGCCGGTTTCGTTCTTTTCCTTCTGTTTTTGTTTCGTCGTTTTATCTCTAGTTAATTCACACTCCTTTTTTGTATACATTTCAATTGTTTCTATCATCGAAACAGATCCTTTTCACAACAATTATAACAAATACCGGGGACTGGGTAGAGGCAGCTACATAATCCTTCCAGTGGAGAAGAAAGGATTTCAACTTTCACCGTTGTATTTGGTTCGTCGTTGGTGTGTTCCACACGAGTTAGTCACCGTGCAGGCATTTCAAGGTATAGAAGCTGTAGCAGAGCAGCTGGGGGCTTTGCAAGGTAAGTGTGGAAAATACACTCCTTATTGAAGAAATATTATTATATTTTAGTTTTTTTTTTCTTTAAAACGTTTCAGATCAGTCACTCGAACGCACATGTGGCTTTTTAGCGTGTTTTACGGTTGTAAAAAAAAACTAAACAAAGAACCAGAAGTTTTGTTAAGTTTCCGGTCATCTTATGCCTAAACATATCACTTGGTTCTGTTATCTTCTTGGCCAATTTCAGTGTTATCACTGTAACATTATAGTGGACGTGTCATTCCTATTATATCAGTCTACTGACCATGGCTTGGCATAGATTTACGGGTTTGATTCTACGTTTTGCACGTGTTTAATTTTTTTTATCTTAGTAGTACTCTTATTTGATTCAAGTTGTTTATAAACAATAGGTTTTATTACCAAAATACCAGATTTATTTATTATTAATTCCGGCACTAATGTAATATAACATATGATTTAAATAATAATTCCACCAGTTTGTAACAAGACCGGAAAGATTCAGCCTTTCAGTCTAACATTAACAACGTGACTTGTGATAAGGTGTACTTGAACCGAGACATCGTGTCTTCGTATTGGTGACAATGTTTTGTTATCATTAAAACTAGCTGATGTCTGATGCCTGGAGTGTGTACTTTCCATAGTTTTTATGGCAAGGAATAATAATAATAATTATCATTATTATCAGATCTTTCTCTTGTTTATCCTGATTACTGAGTTTATTGCGCGTTCCTGGTTTTACACTGTATTGTTTTTTTTTTTTTTTGCTCTGTAATGTTCATAATGTGTACGACTTGATGATAATGTTAGTCAAGTTTGCTTTTCTTCACATATAAAGTTTATTTTAGTTTGAGAAATTTAAGTTTCTGTATCAATATCTTGGTTGAAATTACATTGGCCAGTCATTTGAGCAGCTGCAGAAAACGAAAATGGCCGAATAGCACGTGACCCTCAAAAACCAACCGTATCGTCTGTCCTCTTAAGAAGCAGGAATACAATACTTTTATCAACAAAATCTCAAACACCCAACAGTGTAACGTTTTCATTAATTTGTAACTTTGACGGAAGAGTATACAAACATAGAGGTATAACGTAATGCCAGTAGTGAGTATGTTTGTACTTAAGTAGCAAATCATGTACACATGTTTATCTTTTGCATAGGTCGTGTATGGCACCCAAGCATTGAATATTATTATTATTGTAGTTAGAAGAAAATGATTAAGTAGAACGCATATGACTGGACACTGTGTTTTAAGTACGTGGTAGATCTATTTTGTACTTACTCGACTGTCCTCTCGTAGAGAGAGAGAGAGAGAGAGAGAGAGAGGA